ATTTATACAAAGTCGGCTTATTGCCCCCACAAACTGGGTCCTCATTTTACCTACCTTAGAAAGGATGGAAGGCTGAGTCAACCTTGAGCCTGGCGAGATTCGAACCTGCAGTAATTGCAGGCAGCTGGTCTTAATAACAGGGTGCTTTAGACCACTGTACTACCAAGGCTCTACCAAGTGCTGGTTTGTTTGAATTCTAAAGTCATAGGTCACTTTTTTCGGTGCCGTTGTAACTTTGAACGGTCACTAAATGAACTGTTGTAAGTCAAGGACTATCTGTACTTTTGGATCTTGGAGTCTTAGTGGACAACCAGCTAAATATGAGCCAGCAGTGTGCAGGGGCAGCCAAAAAAGCCAATGCAATCCTAAATTGCATTAACAGAGGGATACAATCAAGATCAAGTGAGGAATTAATACCATCCTATAAAGCCTTAGTAAGACCACACCTAGAGTACTGCATCCAGTTTTGGTCACCACACTATAAAAAAGATGTTGAGACCCTAGAAAGAGTCCAGAGAAACCAGGATGATTAGGGGACTGGAGAATAAAACATACGATGAACGGTTGCAGGAACTGGGCATGGCTAGTCTAGTGAAGGGAAGGACCAGGGGAGACAGGATAGCTGCCTTCCAATATTTGAGGGGCTGCCACAGAGAGGAGGAAGGGGTCAAGCTATTCTCCAAAGCACCTGAAGGCCAGACAAGGAATAATGGATGGAAACTGAACAAGGAGAGATTCAATCTGGAAATAAGGATAAATTTTCTGACCATGAGAGCAATCAACCCATGGAATAGAAGTTGTGGGAGCTTCATCACTTGAGACTTTCAAGGGGAGATTGGACTGCTATTTGTCAGAAATGGCATAGGGTCTCCTGCCTGGGGTGGGGGGGTGGGGGTTGGACTAGATGACCTACAAGGTCCCTTCCAACTCTGTTAATCCGTCAATCCCTTCCAGAATGAGAAAAGATAACCAGTAACGAGCAGTTTTCCAAAATTCCTTTCAGTGCGGAGTAAGAATTCTTTTTTTCTGTCTTTGCAAGCCGTGCGTTCACCTGTGGCATGGTTTCTTTTCATCGTAGTTTGGGAAACAAATGGTGGGAGTGGGATTCCCCGTACACACACACACACACACACTCACACCAAGCCAAAATCAAACAAACTGTTACGACTTAGAGCGAAAGACAAGCCTTCCATCTGGCACCTTTTCTACAGGGAATCTGCAGGTTGCATGTCAAACAGCAGAAGTCAATTATTTCTCATCTGCAAACAAAATTGCTTCCCTTTTTTTTTTTTCTTCCAAGGATTGTTTGACCAGGTGGCTGCTTTCCAGGTTCAGCGAAGTTCCCATCACTTGCTACCTGATCCAAATCAGATTCCCATATTGAGCCGAGCAGACACCTTCTGCTTCAAAGCATCTGCTGCCACTTGGAGGATCTCCAACAGATGTTTTCCACGCCGTTGTATCCCCCTAGGTTACAATCATAATTATTAAAGCCAATTTAAGAGCCGGGGAGGCACAGCTAATGTTCACCCAGAGGTGTTTGCTGCTGGAATATGGAATTTGAGGTGGTGGGGGGAATCAAAATGAATTTAGTTCAAGTTTTGTCCATATCTTCTCCAGCCTAATGCCCTCTCCCTGACATTTTGGACTACAACAGCTCCCATCATCCCAATGGGGCTGGGATTGATGGAAACTGCAATCTAAGTTCTCTGGAAGCTTTACAGGAAGCAACATGTCTGGAAATCATAAATCCAGATTTATGCAACCCTTGCATTTTAATTTAATTTTATTTATATTCCATCTTTGTAATTTTAACTTAAGGAAGCAAACACACCTAATATTCCTCCCTCTTCCTATTTTTCCTCACAACAACCCTCTAAGTTGGGTTGGGCTGAGAGAGAGAGAGAGAGAGAGAGAGACTGGTCCAAAGTCACCCAGCTGGCTTTCATGGCTAAGGCAGGACTAGAACTCTCCATCTCCTAGTGATTGGCCCAAGTCATCCAATTGCCTTTCATGGCTAAGGCGGGACTAGAACTCTCCATCTCCTAGTGATTGGCCCAAAGTCATCCTGTTAGCTTTTATGGCTAAGGCGGGACTAGAACTCTCCATCTCCTAGTGATTGGCCCAAAGTCATCCTGTTAGCTTTTTATGGCTAAGGCAGGACTAGAACTCTCCATCTCCTAGTGATTGGCCAACTCTCCCTCTCATGGTGATTGGCCAAGTCACCCAGCATGGCCATGGCAGGATTTGAACTCACGGTCTCCCACTTTCTAGCCCACTACCTTAAAGAGAACATATTGACTTTCTTCATATCCATGTTTAAGGCCATTTCCTTTGAAAATTTTGAGCTCCATTGTGGTCGTAAGTCAAGGACTATATGTACTAAAAATGTTCCTCACACTTATGACTGTTGCAACATTCCCACAATCCTGTGATCAAAATTTGGTAATCAGCATGTATTCCCAGTTGGTTTCCAACAAGAAAAATCAGTGGGGAAAGCTGGATAGGCTAAACAACCATATGATTCATTTAACAACTGCAATGATTCATTTAACAACTATGGGGGGGAAAGGTTGTAAAATCAGGCGTGACTCACTTAACAGCTGCCTTGCTTAGCAATGGAAATTCTCAGGCAGGAAACTCTATACTATTTCAGACAAATGGTTGTCCAACATCATCTTAAAAACTGCCAGTGATGGAGCACCTACAACTTCTGGAGGCAAATTGTTCCACTGATTAATTGTTCTAACTGTCAGAGAATTTCTCCTTAGTTCTAGGTTGCTTCTCTCCTTGATGAGTTTCCACCCATTGCTTCTTGTCCTGCCTTCTGATGCTTTGGAGAATAGCTTGACTCCCTCTTCTTTGTGGCAGCCCCTGAGATATTGGAAGACTGCTATCATGTCTCCCCTAGTCCTTCTTTTCATTAAACTTTTCATTCATATTCCCTTAGCACAGATATTTTTGTTTCCATTTTGAATATGCAAGCTTAAATTAAAATTTGCAACAATTACTGTAGGAGCATTTAAGTAAGCAAGTACGGTAAGCGAGTGAGTAAGTAAGTAGTAGCAGCTAGGCAAGCATTATTCCTCCACCCCATTGTATATTTGTTCCTTGTGTATTTGCTAGCTATCTTTGTTAATTTTAATGTATCAAGTTATTCTTTTAATGTTTTACATTGTCATTTTTATTTTGTTTTAAGCCAGTTACTCAAATGAGCAACATATAAATTGAATAAATAAATAAGGCACAAAGTATTGCCTGTGTCCAATTTAATAATTCCTTTGATTAGGAACTAACTTAAGTTATGAGATAGTATTGGCTTGTGGTTTGCTAAGAGCGATTTTAAAAGAAATCCCATTGTCTTATCAGAATGGAGAATTAAACGAATCCCTATCTGCCATAAATTACTTATTTGATTTTTTAAAAAAATGGTAGCCTTTATTTTGGGTAAGTAAGCTCAAGGTAGTATACATACCTACTATTTCCCCCTACAACGACAACATTGTGAGGTGGTGTTTGAGGGGAGAGATAGTAATTTACACAAAATTCACCTAGCATTAAATCAAATCAATTTGTTTTCTTAAAATTTTGGAAGGAATATTCAACTATAGAAATGACTGAAAAAATATGCCCCATTGTCCTGCATTTGAACATATCCCCTCATGCTGTTTACTATCAAAGAAATTATATGCCAAATAAATTGGTGGTGTGAGATAAGGGAAAATAGAACAAAATTTGAATTAATGAACAAAATGACTTGGGTCTATAAATTATTATGGGATGGGGCTATAGTTTCTTAATATCTCCAGACCATTTTGTGACTATGAAAAGCTTCACTGATCAGCCATTTTTTAGATTGAAGACTTCTTCCAAACAAAAATTAAGGAGAAATTTCCTGACAATGAGAACAATTAATCAGTGGAACAGTTTGCCTTCAGAAGTTGGGGGTGCTCCAACACTGGAGGCTTTTAAGAAGAGATCGGACAGCCATTTGTCCAGAAATGGCTTGAGCAGGGAGCTGGACTAGAAGACCTCTAAGATCCCTTCCATCTCTGTAATTCTGCTTTTAAGGACTATGCACATAGTTTAAAACTTAAATAGGATAATTCGTTCTTCTTTCCAACTGATCTAAACCTCATGAAGGAAGCTTCTCCAACAAGGTGCCCTCCACGTATGTTTGCTTACAAATCGTATCATTCTCAACTCACTCACGGTCTCTTGGAGCATCTTAACAAAAATAAAATCCCCAAATAAAGCCCAATAAATCCATGCCCTCTGGTGATCACAATCAAATAAATCATTGCAGGAAATGGACTGAACCTAGATCTCCCTTAGACTTAGTCCAGTATCTTCCCGCTGGAAAAAAAAAAATCCTTAAAAGTCTGAGAATCTTTTGCAAAGGAATTAATAAAACCAGATACAATTCTAAGTGCGTTGATGCTGCTACGAAACTCTTTTTTCTAAAGACAGTCGTAATGATTTTTTTAAAAAGTTCATTCTGCTTTGACCCTAAGAAGAGGGCGTGAGAAATTTTAAAAAGCAACCCAAAAAGTAGCAATAGCATTTAAATTTATATATTGCTTTACAGTGCTTTATAGCCCTGTCTAAGCGGTTTACAGAGTCAGCATATTGCCCCTGACAATTTGGGTTCTCATTTGATCAACCTCGGAAGGATGGAAGGCTGAGTCAACCTTGAGCCTGGTGGGATTCGAACTGCCAAATTGCAGTCAGCCGGCAGTCAGCAGAAGTAGCCTGCAGTACTGCACTCTAACTACTGCGCCACTGAGACACATCTACTCTCAAAGTAGATTTCCAAACAATCAATTCAGTCAATGGATGAAGATCTGAATATATTCCATGCAAGCCGCTGTCAGAAGCCCCAAATCTGAATCCAGGCTGTCCAATCTTGAGCCAACTTCAAAAGATCTGGAGATTTTGGCTTCCCCATAGAACTCCCGCCGTCCCGCCATTCCCCCCCCCTACTCTTCAAACGTTCATACCTGGATGACGCGCATGTTAAGGCCGGTCTCCTGTGCCAGCTGCTCACGGATGTGCCGGGTGGGTTTGGGAGTGGCGGCAAAGGCTGCTTTGAGGGTCTCCAGTTGCTTGGCTTTGATGGTGGTGCGGGGACCTCTCCGTTTGGCCCCCAGGTTTTGGTCGTCGTTCTCATTACTGCCCACCTCCTTGTCGGAGATATTGGCGCTTTCCAAGTCCTTGGCGTCATCCTGACTGGGGTCCTGCGAATCCGGGGACAGGCTGGGGTCGCTACCAGTTGTAGCTGCAAGAGGAAGAAGCAGAGGTGTACATAAAAAGGGGATAGAGATTGTGTTACAGGGGTCCTGCAATCATTGATATGCAACACTAATCAAACACAAATATAAGTTTATGTAGAGCATCAGCCAGGGGTAAAATGCTACTGGTATGGACCGGTTCGCCCGAACTGGTAGTAATAAATGCTACCGGTTCGGACAAACTGGTATTTCCGATGATCAGCTGTGCCGCACAATTTAGATTTGCTAGAAAGCAGGAAATCCTGCTTTCTAGCAAATCTAGACTGCGCAGCACAGCTGTTTCCCCCCCTCCCCCAAAAAGCCTCCCTTTTCAGCGCTGTGCGGTAGCGCCTGCGATGCACCTGTGCGTGCAGGGAACTGGTAGCAGACTTCGGAGCATTTCACCACTGGCATTAGCGCGCGCGCGCGCGCGCACACACACACACACACACACAAATACACAAACACACAGTATGTATGTGTGCCTGTGTAATATGTAGATAGTACAATATATGAGATAAAAAATTAAAGCTAGGTAAAACCACGATAAAAATCACCATAAATTGGCACCGGAGAGTCGCAATAGGATAGATGTTATAATTCAACATCTAAGGTAGCTAACCATCTATGACAGGTACGGGTGTAAAACTCAAGGGCTGTGGGGTGCTTAGATCTGACCCGCAGGGCTGCCCTGGGAACAGTGAAGGACCGGCCCGTGGTGCCTCTGCCAGCAAAAACGGAGCTCGGGAGGGCCGCGCATGGCCCTCCCGAGCTCCATTTTTGCTGGCAGAGCGCTCGGGCCGCCACAGGCGCCCCCACACAAGTGATGCCGATCTGGCCATGCCCCCTGTCCGCCCCCAGGGGTCAAACACAACCCTGATACGGCCCTCAATGAAATCACGTTTGACACCCCTGATCTATGGTATACCTCCAAGCAGCATTCTGTCTTAACAAAATGGCTAAAAGTCTACACGCATGATGACCAGCCCGGATATTGCAACTCTCACAATCAAAAACTACAGAGGCAGCAATTAGAAATGGTGCAAATCATTCACCAAGAGTTTCTGATCCCGAGTTATTTCAGAGCAATGCGTTCAGAGAGACACCCCATCTTAAAATAAGCGGAAGAAAGCTTGAATGAGGACAGAGTGTGTGAACAGGGAATCAAGGCAGCGTTTTGGGATCAGTACATTGGACTGGAGGCTCCACCTTAATAAACAGCTGAGCTAAACTATTGAGAAGAATCGTCCATCTTCACTTTGAAATACTCACAGTTGTATTTCGCAGTGGTTGGTAGATCTCTGGTAACATTAAACGTGGTAAAGGTAAAAGTTCCCCTCGCATATATGTGCTAGTCGTTCCTGACTCTAGGAGGTGGTGCTCATCTCTGTTTCAAAGCCAAAGAGCCAGCGTTGTCCGAAGACGTCTTCATGGTCATATGGCCAGCATGACTAAACGCCAAAGGCCCATGGAATGCTATTATCTTCCCATCAAAGGTGGTCCCTATTTTTCTATTTATATTTTTTACGTGCTTTCGACCTGCTAGGTTGGCAGAAGCTGGGACAAGTCACGGGACCTCACCCCATTATGCGGCACTAGGGATTCGAACCGCTGAACTGCCGACCTTTTGATCAACAAGCTCAGCGTCTTAGCCACTGAGCCACCGGATCCCTTATTAAACTTGGTAGATCGTGAAAAACTAATGTTCTGCCTCTCCCTGATCTCCGCTGGCTAAAAGCAGTGGAGCAACTTACTTAACAACCGCCTTGCTTAGTGACAGAAATTCTGTGGCCATCAGCACTGATGGCATTACCTAGACGGGTAATGAAACGTCTGCAAGAAAACAACCAAGCTCAGAGAGCACCAAGGACCCCTCAGACCAAGGTTTTATTTTATTATTTGAATTTTGTTTTTGATTTTACTTAAATTTATGGGCCACCCAACTCCAGTGGACTTTGGAGATGACCAGCAGGCTTGGATGTGAAGCAGCTTTTGAGAATGGCAATACCACATGATTTTTTTTCAAGCTAGCCACACAAGATGCTATATGGCAGTGATGGCTAACCTTTTTGCCATCGTGTGCCAGGAAGGGGCGGGGGGCGGGGAAGTTTCATGCGTGCGCATGCCCACACCCATAATTCTATGTGCCCCGTGCATGTGCACGGGCCCCCCCGTCCCCCCCGCTCCTGGCATGCGATAGCCCAGTAGGCCCGTTTTTCTTTCTCACCTGGCTCCAGATCCTCTCTATGCATCTGGGGAGTTGGAAAACGGGCTGTTTCGGGTCTCCGTGGGGGTGGGGAAGGCTGTTTTCGCCCTCCCCAGATGCATAGAGAGGATCTGGAGGATCTAGAATGAGAAAGAAAAACGGGCCTTCCACACCCCTCCCCCAGGCCCTCCGGACGCAGGAAACAGCCTGTTTCCCTACTTCTGGTGGACGCAGAAGGCCCGAAAATCAGTTGGCCGGTGCGCACATGCGTGCCGGAGCTGAGCTGGCGTGCCAGGCAACATGGCTCCGCGTGCCACCTGTGGCACCCGTGCCATAGGTTTGCCATCACGGCTATATGGGAAGATCCTATAGATTTCCATGCTAAACATCCCATCAAATATTCCCCTGAGATTTTCCCTCAGGTAAATGTAAAGAGAATTTCTGCCTTAAATATGTATTTTAAGTATTTTTCCTGGAGGCCAATGATATTTAATAGCACATGATTATTTAGAGAGCCAGTTTGATCTAGTGATTAAAGCACCAGGCTAAAAACTAGGAGACTAGGAGTTCTAATCCTGCTTTAGGCATGAAAGCTGACTGGATGACTTTGGGCCAATCACCAGGAGACAGTGAGTTCTAGCCTCAACTAACCATGAAAGCTGGTTGGGTGACTTTAGACTAATCACCAGGAGATGGTGAATTCTAGTCCTTAGGCATGAAACTGACTGGATGACTTTGGGCCAATTACCAGGAGACAGTGAGTTCTAGCCTCAACTAACCATTTGTTTGTTTGTTTTATTGAATTTGTTTTATTGAATTTGTATATCGCCCTGCTCCCGAAGGACTCAGGGCGGTGAACAGCCATAGAATAAAACAATATAAATACAAAATTTAAAATAGAATAAAAAAAATTAAGTAATTTGGCTGAACAAATTTAAAAACCCAATACTTTAAAACCAAATTTAAAATTTCCATTTAAAAAGGGGAAAGACTTAGGTCAGGCCAGCCTGATGAAACAAGAAAACCATGAAAGCTGGTTGGGTGACTTTAAGCTAATCACCAGGAGATGGTGAATTCTAGTCCTTAGGCATGAAACTGACTGGATGACTTTGGGCCAATCACCAGGAGACAGTGAGTTCTAGCCTCAACTAACCATGAAAGCTGGTTGGGTGACTTTAGGCTAATCACCAGGAGATGGTGAATTCTAGTCCTGCCTTAATCATGAAACTGACTGGGTGACTTTGGGCCAGTCCCTCTTTCACAATCCAACCCAATTCACAGGGTTGTTGTAAGGACACCAGGAGAAAGAAGAAATATTAGTCATGTTCGCCAGCTTGAGTTATTTATAAAATCATAAAGGCAGGGGGGAAAAATATTAAATATAATTAATAAATAAAATATGATCTCTGCCAGACCACGTCTTAAATTTCATATGAAGAAATCCCTCCTTTCCTAAACTTATCTCTTGTTTTTCACTCTGTTTTTTTCTTTAACTTAAGAGAAGAAGGACTGTGTTAAAAATTTCTCACACGGGAGTGAAAATTGTTCCCAAGTCGCCCACCTTCTTCTTCCTCTCCCTCCCCACAAGCCTTCACACTTTACACGGGTACACACTGACACGTGGGTGTCAAAACTGACCCAGGCACCTCCGTGTTAAGTCTGCCAGGCCAAACATCGGCCTGGCCTGTGAATTTCTTCACCGCCCATTGCCCAACACTTGGCTCCCCCCCCCAAACAGCTTTCCAGCAAAATCCACACGTCCCGTCTGCCTTCTCTGATCTCCTTGGCATTTAAAAATGGAGATCCAATTTTCGGTCCCCCCGGTGTCGCTTTTTCCAAAAGGAAGGGACCCATAGACACCTCACGGCTTGCTCCGCCCCGTAAGTTTACAACCGAGTGTGGATAGCGAGTTACACATCTCCCCGACCCCTGTGATCTGCTTTGTCTGGTGTGACTTTCTTAACACACAAACACACACTCACACCCCACCAGCAAAGTAAAAGAAACAAACAAGCCAGCTGAAATCAGACTCTGCAAGCAACACCACCCCATCACTTCAAATATTTGTCTGACATTCAGTCAATCTTTCCGGGCCACTGAAGCTTTGATTCTCATCCGCAAGAAAGCTTACAGCCTTTTCTTCAATCCAGACACCCACCCACCCCTCTCCATTCCTAAATAACAAAATAGTTTTCTTTCCTAACTGTGATGCATAGAAGGAAGCCAAAGAAAGGGGCAACCACAAAGAGAAAAGCAGAGAAAGGAGAGATGGGGGAGGAAAAAAAAACCCCAGGAACGACAAGAAGGAAAGGGTGCAGCTTTGCAGAAGATTGAGAAACGATTGAGATGAAGAAGGGAATGAACAAAAGCCCAGCCTAGAAGACAAAATGAAATATCTATACATACATACATACATACATACATACATACATACATACATACATACATTGAAGCGTCTCTCTCCGATTCAGACACATTTTATTCCAAATGAATGCCTATAGAATTAAGCATGCAAAGAGTGTTTCTAACTTTTAAGGCCTGCTAAGCTCTTTTCTAAGCACGGCCCAGCTCTAAATTCCCCATTATTATTATTATTTGTTGATTTTATTTATTAATTATATATTAGGGTTGCCAGGTCTGCTTCCAAAAAATAGCGGACAAGCAGGGTGGGGTGGGGTGGGGTGGGTTAAGTAGTAAAAAAATAAAAATAAAATTTACAATTAAATTATATATTTTCTTACAAACATTTTAACACGCCATTTTAGGTCAGTCGACACAAGCTACAATACATTTTAAAAATGT